CAATTCAATGCCGGTTGAAATATTAGAAGTTACATCTAAAAGAGCATTGAAAAAAAAATGGAACACAAGATACTAAGAAACATGACATGAAAATAGAAAGCTCAGAAGTTATCTCTTTAGCTTGTTACCTATTGCCATTTTGTTTTATTTACAATTTATTTGTTAATTTAAAAAAAATATATTTTGTTTTGGAGAGGGAGGGAATTTTTTTAGATTTTGGATATGTCATCACAAGTTTCTAAGATGTGAATTAAGTAAAACATAATTCGCATTCTTGCCAGTTTTTAACTGCCGTACTGTCATTACAAAATTTTTATTTTGTTGAGTATGTACAACTAAGTCTTCACTGGTACTGTAAACTACCTTATTACAAGATTCAAATTTGTAAGAAATGTATAATGTTCCTGTTACACTCATTCAGTTATTTGGTTTTAATTTGGTTATTCTATTTCTTTTTTGTTTTACAATTAATTTTTAATTTAGATAATAATTGGATGATTGTGATTTCTTTTTGCGTGTTGAGTTTCCTCATTGCAAGATTTTATGTTGTTAATTATATGGAATTTAAATCTTCACAAGCGGTTATCACAAGATGATAATTTGAAAATAATGTATAATGTTCCTGTTACTTTCATTCAGTTTCATTGTTTGTTTTTTATTTGATTAATCTTTTTTTTTTAATATATATTTTAGATAATATTTTGATTGTAATTTGTCAACAAGTAATTATGTCAATTGTTAGTTGGTCACTGTATACTACGCTTTGTTTGTGTGTCCTATTATTTGTTGATTTGATTTGTCACTACAAGTCTTCAACATGCTAATTAAGTATATCTTAATACTCATTTTTGCCTGTTGCCAACTGCCATTTAGTTTCATTTATTTACAACCAATTGTTAGTTTAGAGAATAATTGGATGATTTTGTTATCTTTTTGCCTGTTGAGATTTGTCATTACAAGATTTTATGTTGTTAATTATGTACAGATGTGTACATAATTATTATAAACAGCAGTTATCACAAGATGATAATTTGTAAAAATTGTATAATGCTCCTGTTACTCTCATTCAGTTTCATGAATGATTCACGGTATGAACAATTTTTTGTGTTTGAGTCCTATTATTTAATTTCTAATTATTTATAATTGGACAATTTAACACAAGTTAATGTCAGCTGCCATTTCGCATATAAGTTCTATTTGTTTCTTGATTTGTTAATTTAAATACTAATGTTATTTCGCTTTGCTTGTTGATTTGTCACAACAAATTTTCAAAATGATAATTAAGTATAACATAGTTTTCATATTAGCCTGTTGCCAACTGACATCTCTTTTTATTTATTTACAATTTATTTGTTATTTTAGATAATTTGATGATTTTGATTTAGTATTGCCTGTTGAGTTTCCTAGGAAAAAATCTTAATTCCAATAAAAACAATTCACGCATCATACAGTAACTGGCAAACAGTACTGATAATGGGTGAACTATAATCAACAAAGGTAATACAAAAAAGAAAAATCAAAACAAAACAAACGTACAATGTAACACACCCCTCTCTGACAAGTACATAAAGTACTTAGAGAGGGTTTGAAGTGTACTGAATAAAATAAAATAAATATATTTAAATTGAAAATTTAAATCTGATAAGACCAGTATTTTTACTGAAAGGTTAAACAGGATGTATAATATGTAAAGTATTTGAACAAAATTGGTATTCTCTTATTGTTTTTTTATGGTGATGGTTTTTGTACACTGTCAATGTAATTCTTTTGGAGATAAATTATTATTATTATTATTATTATTATTATTATTATTATTATTATTATTATTATTATTATATTAATAATAAATTTGTCACATAAATACAACATACACCATCTATGGCAAATCAGGATATGTAAATAATTATATAATGCGCAATACATGTATTTCTAAAAATTAAATGCATGACATAAATTAAAGTTGAATTCAATTCTTGTACTAAATATGATATCATGCAATGCTAATTAATATTAGTGATGGTAGGACCTGAAGACTTAAGTTAACAATCAATATCAGTAATAATAAAAAAGAAAGAAGGGAAAGAAGAGAGAAAAAAAATCTTCATAGATTCATGCTTGGGCTGGGTCCATACTTTATATCCAACAAGTTTAGAGAGGGGGGTGTTCAAAAAATGCAACAGAAAATGCAAAAATTATTAGTACTAGTTTAAATTGATGTAGATATGTGTTTATGATGTATATATTATTTTGTACTGTAGAATGTAGGGTTTAACAGCTTTCGATTTATTTTTGAATGTGTGTATCCAGTTTTTTGCTTTTAAATTCACTAGGAAATTTGTTATATGGTGTATTGCCTTCTATAAGGGTACTTGGGTACTTTTTTGAAAGAGTGAAGTTTCACTGGGACATGCGGATTTCTTTTTTGTCTAGTATCATTGTTATGAACTTCAGTGTTCAGATTAACAGAACCCTTGTTTCCTATAAGTGTCTTCTTTGTGAAGATTATTATTTCAAATATGAATATCCATGGGAGTGGTAATATTTGTAATTTTTTTAACAGTGATATGCTGGACTTCCATTTATGAATGTCATTGTTCTCAATATTCATTTTTGGATAATGAAAGAGTGAATACTTTTTTGGGAATTTCCCCAAAATACTATTCCATATTTTAAGTGTGAGTGAACATTTGAAAAGTATATCATTCGCAATATATCTAAGTTAGAATTTGACATAGGAAGTATATGGCTTAACATGAATTGGTAAGCTTGTTGTTTAGATCTGTGATATGGGAGTTTCATATTAGATCATCTTGAATAGTCAATCAAAGAAAAGTTATTTTCTGGTCTATTTATACAGGCAAGTTTTTTATCATCATTTGTGCTGGAGACTTCTCTTTAGAGAGTTGATTCCGAAAGTTTAAAGAGATACTTTTACTGGTGTTTGTGATGAGTTTATTTACTAGTGCCTCTAAGACTGTTTGGGCTTCTTTTTGTAGAGTTTGTTGGGTATTTGCTTTAATAATAATGTTTGTGTCATCTGCAAATAGGACCATTTTGCTCTTTTGTAGGGTCAGGAGCATGTCATTGATGTATAATAGAAATAGTGTAGGGCCTAGGATTAATCCTTGTGGCACTCCATAATTTATCATTGTAGGTTGGGAAAAATGTGTAGAAATCTTTTTATCTCTAACATGCTTGATTGTGACTACTTGACAATGATTTGAAATGTAAGATTAAACCAATTGATGTGCAATGCCTCTATTTCTCAAAGTTTCAAGTTTGGATAACAGTATGTAATTGCCAATAATGTCTAATGCTTTTGATAAATCTAGAAGCAAACCGATGGATTTCTTTCTGATCTAGAGCAACAAGTAATTTAGAAAGGTGAAGATAGCTGTGTCTGTAGAACTATCATTTCTGAATCCATGTTGGGCCTCTGTCAATATGTTAGTTGAATTGAGAAACTTTTTGAGTCAATAATTCAAAAGCTATTCTAGAATTTTTGAGAATCCATATAGTAAGGATATCAGTCTGTATTTTAATTATGTGTATTCTATATCTTGTGTATTCTAATTATGTTACTCTTCTCGATTTTTTTAATGAAAATTTTGCCATTTTGGAACAACTTAAACTTGAAAGATTTATATTTGGCCTTATTTTTTTGCCTTCCATTTAAAAAGTTGCATTGTATTGTATTAAGTTTTCATATATATACAAGAATTGATTGTCTTTGTTTTGCAAGAGGTCTCTATTTTGTACTTTCTTCTTTTTGTTGCTTCGAACTTTGTCTTTTACTTTCTTTGAATTAAATTTTATGATTACCTTTGCTTTTTCACCCCTAATTTTTTAACTACAAACATATCGTCTATGTCACTGTCATATATGTTCTCACCACACACTTTACTTAATAGTTTTAGTACATTTCTTAACCAAGTCAGAATTTTTCACTATTGATTCCTACTATTTCAATGTTTCTATCAAAAAGCTACTACTCAAATTCATTAATTCTGGAAGATGTACTGTTAATAGTTTTCATTTTTTCTTCATTTCTCCTTTTACAGCATTCAATTTTTTTATTTCTTGTATCACATCATCATATTTAATACTTAGAAAGTCTATGGTTTTCTTTAAATCATTTAAACTTTCTGTGAAGGTGTCTATTTTGTTGTTTATTTCTTCTAGGTAGCCTTCAAAAGGGTTGGGGAGTTAATTGTGTAAACACCATTCATTGCATTATCTTGTCTACATTTAGTACGTCACCAGTTCTTCGTTCTTTCAGATTTTTCCTTATGTGTGTTTTCACTTATTGAGCAGGCAAAGAGCAGGTGTACATTGCACCCAATGCAGTACACCTTGTTTTTCATGTTTTCATCACATTTTCGGCAGAATATTGCAAGCATTTATTAAAAATGATAAAAATATAAACAAAATGTTAATGATAAAAATGTTAAAAGTGATAAAAGTGATAAAAGTGATAAAAGTGAATAAAAGTGATAAAGAAGTGATAAAGTTGATAAACGTGATAAAATGATAGTGATAAAAGTGTTAAAAGTGATAAAAGTGATAAAAGTGATAAAAGTGAATAAAAGTATAAAGTGATAAAAGTGAAAAAGTTGACTGATAAAGTTGATAAATAGTTAAAGTGATAAAGTGATAAAAGTGATTAAAAGTGATAAAAGTGATAAAAGTGAATAAAAGTGATAAAGTGGATTAAAAGTGATAAAAGTGATAAAAGTGATAAAAAGTGATAAAAAGTGATAAAAGTGATAAAAAGTGATAAAAGTGATAAAGTGATAAAAGTGATAAAAGGTACAAGTATAAAAGTTGACTAAAGTTGATAAAAGGTGATAAAAGATAGTGATAAAAGTGATAAAAGTGATAAAAGTGATAAAAGGTATAAAAGTGCTAAAAAGTGATAAAAGTATAAATGATTAAGTTAATAAAAGTGATAAAAGAATGATAAAGTGATAAAAGTTGATTAAAAGTGATAAAAGTAGTTAATGGATAAAGTCGATAAAAGTGATTAAAAGTGATAAATAAAGTTAAAACAGTGATAAAGTGATAAAAAGTGATAAAGTGATAAAGTGATAAAAGTGATAAAATGTGATCAAAGTGATAAAAGTGAATAAAAGTGATAAAAGTGATAAAAATATTTCAGATCCTGCTGAAGCTGTGGTACCAGCGGACTTTGAATGTTTGTGTGCAGAATCTATAGGAGTATCCTTGGCAATGTAAGATACTTGAAGTGCAGGTGATACCAAAGGAAGAACCCTATCAGGGGTACAACAAGCTGCAGTTCAAGCACAAAGAGCACTCGAATTCTGTCAATATGTAACAGGAGGTGATAACTTGTCTTTTTTTCTGCAATTTCTCTCCTGTTGAAACACTTTTCCTAGTTATGTAATGTCTACCAGAAATTAATTCTATGTATTTGAGATGTAGAATGCTGAAGTTGTGTACAACAATGAAGGAGCACGTGTCATCAGAAAACATCAAAAAAATTTTGAGTGATATGAATAGGTAGGAAAAGCACTTGAATGTTTTATTCATAATTGCTTAATATATTTATTTTTACCTAATGTTTCTCAAAAGTATTTAATAGTCTATTTTTAATTTTTTAAGTATTAATTGTATCCTGACTGTGTGGTTACCATTGATTGTAAACAGTGTAAATCTTTTTTAAAACTCCTTATGAAGGAATATTACATTCTAAAAGATTAGCAAATTATTTTTTTTATTTACATATGTAACATCCTATTATGTACATAAAAATATTACATTGAGAGCTGTGTTAGTATCTCATCTAATGAAACATTTGTTTATAACATGAAATGAGTCTAAATTTCTGCCTAGAGAATTGAAAATAGTAGAGAACTACCAAGGTGGAACAACTCTGAGATGGGAAAAGTATATGCTGACTACAGGAAATACTAATAATAAATAAGTTTTAAAAAAATCATAGCTGTACATTTCATAGAATTTCACTTCACTGTGGCTCTTAAAATAGTAGTCAGATTATGTTTAAATTTCAATGAATGCTTTTAGATAAAAAAATGCAATAGTTTCCTAGTACTGTTATAAATAATTTTTTAATCATAATTAATTGTAAAATCGATTATTGTAGAATAGAATAGATATTGTTTAGAGATTAACATGAAATCTAAAAGATTTAAGTTCTTCTGTACAATAAATTAAATGCTAATATGGATAGTAAATTCTTTTATTAAAGCAACAAAATTTGCATGTTTTTATTAAAAATATTGGTTTATTGAGCTGTATTCAATACATCTCGGAAGATGTATGTGTAGCATTTCATAATGTAGTGAATATACGCATCTTATAATATTATCGATATATAAAATTTTACTATTTATTTATTGTACTGACAAAGAGGAGGCGTTTTTCACTAAATGTGTTCTCATTGTATTAATTTTTCACAGAACATTTTATGAAATTTTCTTTAAAAATGGATATAGTACTAGATGCCAATGGTAAAAAATTGAATGAATCAGGATGTAGATTTGATTATATCAAATATTACTTTGTAGGCAAGTGTACACAAATCCTACCAGTTTATCTTAGTTTTGGTATTATTTTAAATAAAAACAACACATATATGGTACTAAAATCATAATCTTTATTTCATGGCAAATGAATAAACTAACATACACTTAAAATAGTTCATGTAGAACACTTAAAAAGCATTAAACCATCATAAACAAAAATGATGACTTTCCTTGGTATTACATTTTACTGAATTTGGCCTTAAGAAACTTCAGCTTCCTATCAATTTTTTGGATTTTAATTGTAAATTCAGGAGAAAATGGCTTCTTTCCTGAAACAACAAGCAAATTAAATAATGTAAAGAAAAAAATAAAATATGCTATGTAACTAGAAATTGGAAAGATAGACCACATACCTGTCATTTTCTCTAGTTTGGAAAGAGTTGTTTTAAGGATTTTAAGTTTGTGGAAAGATTTTTGTAAATATTTAGGTCCTTTTGCTATGTTATTTTGCAATAATAGCATGCTTTTCATTATTTTTACTAGGCAATGTATTGCAACTATTCTCAACATTTTTTCACGAATTCTGGCTTTCATATTCCAAGGCGTATGTGTCTCACGAATTATATCAGTTCTGTAAATAACATTCACTTTATTTTCCCAACTATTTATATATTTACATACACACATACCAACGATCTAGTAATACAATAAATAAAGTTGTAATTAAATAATAATTCCATTACCAAAGCTTACCTCGACCCTGTTCATTTAGAATTTTAGGCGCTACAAATCATGGTGGAAAGTTATAGGTGAGTTTATGTTAGAAATAATCACCATTCTATCATTGGTGAGCTATTGCGCATGGTATCAGACTTCCACTAATGAGCTTTAGGCATCAGTCTGCGTGACAATATTAGCGGGAATTTTAATTGGGACTTGTAACAGATACGAAGCATTTCTTCAAACATTGGAATTATTTCTTTTAAAGTTGTTTTAAGTATTTATAAATTTATTGTATACGTATATATGGAGTAATATAGAGAGTGTACAGAGGGTTACGTAACAACGTGGTAAACAGATTTAGAGATTTCAACAGAAAAACACGTTGGAGACCCCTATACCTAAAAAGTAGTTTTTTTTAACGTTAGTAGGTCCGTCCGCCCGTCCGCCCGTCCGCCCGTCCGCCCGTCCGCCCGTCCGCCCGTCCGCCCGTCCGCCCGTCCGCCCGTCCGCCCGTCCGCCCGTCCGCCCGTCTGCCCGTCTGCCCGTCTGCCCGTCTGCCCGTCTGCCCGTCTACCCGTCTGCCCGTCTGTGGCAGGTTATTACGATTTAAATGAGTTTGCCCGTTAGTCGGCGCAATAGAGATGTGGCATAGCACCTCTAAGGTCATGATGAAATTTGGATTTTCCCGTACGACCTGTGAATATGAGAATTCCGGTAATACTTCAACCTCCGGCATCGCTGCGGCTACAAAAAGGTCGTGTAAGAAAGGGGCCGACCACGACTGAGGAGAATCATTACACGTAACAGAACGGCAATCCTTCCGCAAATTTCTGCAAATTTGAATGCTGGGCCATCAACAAGTGTCAGCGTGCGAACCATTCAACGAGACATTATTGATATGGGGTTTCGGATCCATGTCGATAATGTATGACCCTTGATCACTGCACGACAAAATGCTTTACGCTTCAACACGAGCATTGGACTATTGATGACTGGAAACACTTTGCCTGGTCTGGCGAGGCTCGTTTCACATTGTTTCGTGCCGATGGACGTGTACGAGTATGGCGACAACCTGATGAATCCATGGGCCCTGCAATGTCAACAGGGGAGTGTTCAAGCTGGTAGAGGCTCTGTGATGATATGGGGCAAATACAGTTGGGAGTAATTTGGGACTCCTGATACTTCTCGATACGTGACACCCACGTAAGCATCCTGCATCCATTCATCTCCATTATCTGCACCCATTCATGTCCATTGAGCACCCCAACGGACTTGGGCAACTCCATTAGGACAGCGCGACAGCCCACATGTCCAGAACTGCTACAGAGGTGCTTCGGGAACACTTTTCTGAATTTAAACACTTTCACTGGACACCAAAATCTCCAGACATGAACATTATTGAGCATATCTGGGATCCCTTGCAACGTTCTGTTCAGACGAGATCTCCACCCCTCGTACTCTTACGAGTTTATGGACAGCCCTCCAGGATTCATGGTGCCAATTACCTCCAGCACCACTTCAGACGTTAATCGAGTCCCTGCCACGTCATGTTGCGGCACTTCTACCTGCTCATGGGAGCCCTACTCGATATTCGGCAGATGTACCAGTTTTTTGATTCAACTTAAAACAATTTAATATATTAACATATTTTTTATAGTTTTTTTGGATTTAAATATATCGGTATATTTATACTGAATATTAATATTTAAATTTTAAGTATATTTAATAATACAAGGCACATGTGATTAATTCCTTCGCCCCAAACCTGTCTGGGCCTTTCAGTTTCACAGCCCACCCTCGAAGCTACTATTTCGAATAGGATCTTCTTGCTTCAGACCAGAACTCCTCAAAGGCATTAAAGAAGCAGTGGTATGGAGGAAGAGCAAGTCGTTATTCTTCTTTTCTTCTAGAATCTTGTCGACAAGTCTATAAAAAACAATTTAATCAATCTTCAATTCAACAATTCAATTTCACAACAACTCAACAATATTATGCAGTAACCAGGGTTTTCATTGAGAGGTATTAATTGTCTGGACTCATTGCTGAAAATTTGAAACAGTTCTACAAATATTGTTATACATGTTACATGATTGATTTGAGTGTATTAATAATACACTGCCTGAGAAATAATGAAGCGCCCAAAAAAGTGGTTGGAAGTGAATAAAATTATATACGCTGAAAGCCCATGAAGCTTAATTGAACTGAAAGGGGTGAAAGAGACAAGGCCGTTGGCTGTTAAAAGTTGAAAGTGGGCACCAGGTCAGTAGTGTGTCGCACCTCCTCTAGATGTAGTGTATTAAGAGATTCTAAATGGTGTCAAACAACCTTTGGATCCTCTCTTGAGGCAACTTCGTCTACAATTGTTGCAGATGTTCCTCCAAATCTAGCTGGTTGGTACTGCGACGGATCTGGAGGATACAATAACATCCCAGAAGTGTTCAATGATGAAGTCCGGGGATCTTGCTAGCCATGAGCGGACCCCAACACGCTCTATATAGTCCGTAGACACGTGCTGTGTGTGGACGTGCATTATCTTGTTGGAACACTGTCCCATAGTGCGGTGCAATAAGGGATAGCACATGTGGACGCAGAATGTCTGTGACGTATCGCTGTTGATCCTAAAAGTTTCCAGAATCTCCCCACTTCTGTCCTTGGGTATGCGGTCAGCCATGTCGCTGATCTCAACACTTCCCAAGCTGATGAGACGAATTGAAGTCGAAACAGTATATACTTGGGATCAAAGTGTATCCCAAGACCTTGGCAACCCTACCAGAACTCAAACTTTCTGAGTGGTATTTGGGACCCGTTGGTCAAGGTGTTTTAAACAAGATACCCTTTGGCAAACACTAACAAACATATTCTTTGGCTTACGACTACGTCATCTTTTCCTATACTGTTTCGACTTCAATTCGTCTCATCAGCTTGGGAAGTGTTGAGATCAGCGACATGGCTGACCGCATACCCACGGACAGTAGTGGGGAGATTCTGGAAACTTTTAGAATCAAACTTTGTACTCCTCGAAGCAAACGCCTTTTGCCTTTTGGCTGCAACAGACGTATCGCTGTGCCGTCACAATCTGCCGTAGTACTATTAGGTGATTTGAACGCATATCCGATGGCTCCCCTACACCAGGATGCCCGGGGTTAGGCCGGTGAATCTTTCCACAATATATAATAATAATAATAATAATAATAATAATAATAATAATAATAATAATAATAATAATAATAATCGGTCAATAAGGTGTAATATTAAGGGTAAATCGGCCTTGCCCTTCACGCCGCCACACTCGACCACGATGGTCATCGGAAGGTATGGCGAAGGGCGACCCATCACTGACCTAATGCGACGCCATTCTGTCCATGCCTGCCGAGCACGGCACCAATCCAAACACCGGCGTTGGTGGTCTGGTGTCAATGGCAACCGACGCATGGGCCGGTGGGACCTCAATCCGGCTGGTGCGAGTCTTCGAGCCACTGTAGGGAACTCGCAGGCCGGTGAAGAGTCGTCAGTACATGTTCGCGGATGGATGATGCCGACGTCATGGGTTTCCAAACTGATTGGCGCATCTTACGATGGTCCTCCCTCGGGGTGGTGTTCTTGGTCGAGCCGAGCCGGCACGGCGTGCATGAGTGCCTTCATGTACCCACGGATTCCAACATCGGGTCGCTGCGACATCTGAATAGACCACATGCCTGGCAATTGCACGAGACGAGTAATCAGCTTTATGAAGTCCCACAGCCTGTCAAATGCTGTCAATTGGTGGATATGCTGTCGAATGCGTCTGCGCAGCATAGCAAGTGCTTCGTACTGCACCTAAACCTTGTTCTTTACTGTCCGATTTACAGCAGTTGACAGATAACAACTATGTAACAACAGGGCGGTGACTTCACGAACGCACTCTGGTGGGCGTTCTATTCGTTACTGATACATGTGAATCTAATCATTTATTCACACATCAATGGTATTACTCGGGCAACTTTTCTTGAACGATGGATTGACGATTTCGGGTGGAGGGGGGGGGGGTATTAGTTACAAAGTCGGCCACTAGAGTATTTTAAGTAATGCCAACGACTGTAACATGAAAGTCAAAACTGCATCTTGTGCTCAACTTTTTCGGGAGTTTTAGGTGACTCCCTTGAAGGACCTGGACCTGACTCAGCCATTTCTTTCCATATTGAAAATAAATCTGAACAGGGGTTCTGCACTATGAAAGCAACTGGCTTTGACTAGCTTCTGTTTCGCGCCAACGAAGTTTTAATGCTTGGAAGGTTGTCATCAGTGCCCGTTGCGAGCTTTTGCCTTCAACTGTTTATTGCACAAGGGAGGGGCATCAAGATCATCGTTCAAGAAAAGTTGCGCGAGTAATATGCATGCCGAAATGGGATAATATTGACCACTTCTTTAGGGGGGCAACACTTCTTTTGTAATACAGAGTGCATGTTGGACTCATTTTTCAAAGTCCTCACTATTCATAGTACCATGATAATCTCAGCCTCTTTCCAACTTTGTATATTGTAATTTAAACTTGCCCGTAAAATAATTCATTTCTATCAATATATTTACAGAGGAAATTATGCACCAAAAATTATCTCTTTAATTCCTAATAATACAGTAAATTTGAAAGTTTTTATAACACAATAAATTGTAATATATATTAAAAATGTAACTACTCAACAAAATATTGTCACTCACATTGGAGAAACCCTTTTTAACTTTCAGTGTGACCTATTGCTAAAATGCTGAATTCATCTGCCAGTTTTGGATGGCCTACAATACAACGTAATTGATTTTTAAAAGTTAAACTTACTAGACTTAAACTTATCGAAGTTAAGTTAAGGGAATGGACAAATTGGTGATAGCTTCATGTATTAAGTCTTTCCATAAATTAGTGGTAGTAAATTGATCTTGAAAATAAATTCCTTAGTCTCTACACAATCAGAAAATAGTGCTGCTACAACAACATATACTTTCTCGTATTTCTCAATGTGTTATTTTCGAAAATTCAAAGACCTGAACGAAGATAAGACCCGCGCCATTCTTTTAAGAATCCCTTCGTCAATCCGTGAAAAAAAAATGGATCAGTTCTTGAGAAAAAAACAAATTTCGCGCAAAATAACATGAAAACTACTCATATTGTCGAAATATTCAACATGAACTTCCTTAAAAATCAGTCTTTAAGGAACACATTTCATTAACGAAAATCATCTCTATCTTCAAACATCATAGTTGTAGGATGATGCCCACCGAATAATTGCACTTTTACTATTTGCAAAAAATCGGACATTTCAATGAACATGTGACGTGCACCATTGCTTGATTACAGTTTTTGTGATATTTTTGAGAAAATTTTGAAAAATGTTTTATGGAAAGTTCTCTCAAAAACCAAAGTATCCGTTTGAAAAGCCTAACGCCTCGAGACCATTCCAATCGATTGGGGACTATCCATTTTGAAGATAATCGGCTGAACGCTTTAGCCGTTATCGCTGTCCACGAACGGACGGACTGATGGACAGACAGACGAATTGCCGGGCAGGCACGTTTTCCTGTCAATCGATTTTTCGGTGTTTTTGACCCACAAATCGTGAATTCTTGCTACATTACATGTCAGATTTTTTTTCTACATTCCACAACTGGATTTATCCACTTTTTCGTTACCAGGGCCCGGTAATGAGTTTTTGTCCGGAACATGCGCCGTTTTCCGGCGCACGATTACATAAAACCTAGTCTCCCGAAGTAATTCTTAAGGCGATAATAATATGTACAAGACACCACAGTGTAGCATGCATTACATTATTTCATACAATATGAGACGTTTTAAAAAAAAGTTATTATTGAAAAAGTATGGGAATAAATGTTGTTGAGAAAATGGTTAGCCAAAAATATTGATTAAAAATATTAAAAATTATTGTTACGATATTCAAATCCTAAAACTGTGACAGGTCTGTATAAAATATATGCAACTAACACTTTCTTCAAAAAAATTCACACTTCTTTTCATTTTTTATTTGGTGTATTTGCTTAAAGGATATTGTTTTTAAATTTGAGATATTTAGAAAATCATGAGATGGGCCGATTTTGCACACACGTGGCAAGTCTGAGCAATTTAAGTAAGTTCAAATCATATACATTAATTTATACTATAGTAAGTGTTTAATATAATTATTATTACATTAATAATATTAATAATAATAATGATAATGATGATGATGATGACAATAATAATAATAATGATAATAATACTAATACTAATACTAATAATAATAATAATAATAATAATAATAATAATAATAATAATAATAATAATAAACATAATAGATAATAAATATAATAGTAGTGTTATAAAGTTCTTTGGATCAATGAGGGAGAATATGCCAATGAAAAACATTCCACAAATCATTAAGTGAAATGAGTCGGCAAGAAGTGCACTACCCTATATTTACACTATAATGTAATATGTTTTCACAATCTAATGTATGTTGTATAAATATTGAACTATTCATTTTTAATTTCTTAAGGGCCTATTGTTTCATTGCTGTGTGATTACATGTGATGGTATACAATGTTGATGTGCTTTTAAAAACTCTGATGAAAGAATAATACATTCCAAAACGATTGAGAACCTAATTTTTTTCATTCACATACACAATGTTCCATAATTTTCATACAAATAAATTTTTAATAAAAATTTGAGAATTCTGTTTCCAGTTCATTAAATCTAACATTCCTGTAGAAGAAAATAAATCTAAGTTTCAGATAGCAGAACTGGAAATTCGAGACAATGTTAAAATTTTAATAATATATCTGATAAATAATGGGGCCATTAAAAAATACAACTGATCTAAAATTCAAAAAACATATACTTACCA